ATGCAGAGGTGAAGTGAGGGGCTCTAGCACGGGTTTCCCCCAGGGCACAGGTGGAGAAGATGCTTGTTACTGCTGCAGCGCAAGGCAGGTGCTTGTCCTGGGCTGTGTCATCAGTGCCTGGGGGTCTCCAGCACTCTCCTTCAAGACCCTGCACAGCTGCCAGTGCTGCTGCTGGTTTAGCACCAGTGTTTGCAGAGCGTCAGGGCCTCTGAGGCTCAGAAGGGTTCGTTTTCCCTTGCAAGTGCGGCTGTCCCCCAGCATCGGAGCAGGAACGGGGCGGCGGGGCCCTGCTCCTGAGCAGCCCAGGGAAAGCTGCTCCTCACCAAATGAATCATTTCCAGGGCGGGGATGAGGAGGGAGGAGCAGCCAGGGGCTGAGTGCAGGGCACGGCCCAGGGCTGATGCCACTGCCGAGGGAGCCCTGGCCGCCTGCCCTGAGCAGTGTTCAGCAGGACCAGATGTTCCTCTCCCCCAGTACAGTAGGCACCGGCCAAGCGCTGATGGTGTCTATGGGCCCTGCCAGGACCCGCTTTGGGACCTCATTTGCAGCTGGGGCAGGAGTCAGGGGTAAGGGGAGAGCTGCCGAGGGAGCAGAGACAGATGCGAGCCCTACAAGGTCTTCACCTCCCTTGGCCAGTGTTTGCTGTGATGGACACAAGCCCCAGCTCTTCTGACGCTCCTGGCATTGCTCCCCTCACCTCCCTCCTCTGGGATGGCTCCTCAGCAGCGGTAACTCTGAGCGCTGACCCTGGTCTCTGCATGCAGCAGGGCGTGCAGGGAGCATGGTGGGACCCGCAAGGTGCTGCGCAGGGCAGGATGGGCAGGGAGCTTGGGAACGACCGCCCTGGCCGTATCCAGATGCCTTTCACCATTCCACATCCCTCTGTGTGCGAGGGCAGAGGCGGTCCCGCCCGGCGGCGTGCGAGCAGTGTCTGGTGCATCGGGCTGACAGCAAACCCCACGCTGTGATCGCCCGCTCTGGTGGGGAAACACCGCATCCCTCCGGCCAGGCAGGCTCTGCCCGGGGCAGCCGCCCGCTCCCTGCCCTCAATGCCCCTTCTGTTGGCTGGGCTGGGGGAGGACTTGCCCCGCGCTGCCCCAGTCCCACTGCTCCCATCAATACGAGCAGTGTCTGGATGCAGGTGCTGCGCAGTGGGGCCCTGATCCCACCATCCAGGGAGCTCCCGGATGAAGGTGGCCCTTGGGCTCCCAGGGGACAGAGGCTCCTGCTCCCTGCCAGCCCGGCTGCGCATCTGCAGGGTGATGGAAGAGCCCTTGGACAGGGGTGAGCAGAGCCCAGCCGTGAGAGTGGCCCATGGGCAGCGCAGTGTCCTGTGCCATGGGGTGCTGAAGGGAAGGGGTGCTGCAGGGTGTACCCCCCTCTGCTGGGGGAACTGGCATGGTTTGGAGCTGGCAGTGTCAAGCCCGGGAACAGATTCCTGTTTCCACTGGTGAGTGAGTCAGCGGCGGCACCGCCAAGGCCCAGGGCTCCCTCCCTTCCCTCCGGCCACTGCCACCTCAGCCACGCAGCCCTCTCCTGCTGCCGCTCGGGATCGGCAGCCTCTGCACCTATGGCCCTGCGGATGGGTGCTGCCTGCGCCCACTGCTCTGCAGCAGCGCCATGCTGGGAGCAGCGTCAGTGCTGAGCTGTGCCCTCTGTGCCTGCCCCATCCCAAAGAGGGGGACATGGAGGGACACAGAGGCCCCTGCTCCCGCGGGTGGGTTCACGCCTCCGTTTCCCCACCACACGTTTCTGGCAGGCCCCTGCAGCCGCAGGAAGGTGCGAGCAGAGCCGGCAGCGCCCGCTGCTCCCCGACCCCAGCGCTGTTTGAGTTGGTCAGCGCTCGCATCCTGAGCCCCCGCTGCACTTCCAGACACGGCTCCGCTGCGGTTACAAGAGAAGCAGCTCCCCACTGCGAGAGCAGCCCTGGCCAAGGGGAAGCGCTTGAGCGGGTTTGGTACTGGGCACCCACACACCCCTTCCGAAGGGAGCCCTGTGCGCTGTGTCCTCCCCTGGGGGTGCAATGATCTGGTGGGATACTCATCTCGATGAGGCGCTGCCCTGCAAGCATGGCTCAGCAAGGATGCCCAAGCCGAGTGTGCGTGCAGAGCGGTGCCAGCTCCATCTTGCTGCGCTGCTGCCGTGACCGGGAGCCAGGACACGTCCCTGGGGAGCAGCAGGGAGAGGCACATCGGGAAATGCCTCCCCTCCCTGTGCTGCCAGGGCTGCCGGCAGCGGGGCCTGCACAGAGGGACGGGTCAGGGAGGGCAATAAAAATAGATCCCTGTGACGCTCGGTGCTGCTGCTCTGCCTTTGAAGCGTGTTTGCAATGTGGGCACAGCCCCAGCACTCGCTTCCACCTGCTCTGGATGCGCATCACCTCCTTCCTGGGTCAGCAGCTCCCGGATGGAGATAGGAATGGAGGGAAGAGAGCCCGATTGCAATCAGAAGCTCCGAGCACAGCCATTCCCAGCCCTGCAGCCCCCGAGCAGGCAGCTCTTGGCTCTTTGTGGCCAGGGAAGGGCTGCGTGGCCATGGGTGAGTTGTTGGAGTGTCTTGTGCCCAGGATGCGGCGGGCACAGGGCAGCTGGTGGTGGCTGGGCTGCACCACTGAGGCTCCAGCACTTGGGTGGAACAGGACTGGGGCTTTCAGTGCACCCTGAGCATGTGCCAACAGGCTGCAGCCAGGGACAGGCTCCATCCGGGATGCAGGGCTGGTGCCATGCTCTACCTGCTGCGTATCCTGCCCTCCCAACGGCTGGTCCCCTTACCTGGGGCTCACCTGCAGCCCCGAGACAGCTCTGTGCTGTGCCAGCACCATGGCATGGTGCGGATGAGGCCAGCTCCATGGCAGGGCAGGCAGGACTTCCAGCAGGGCCAGGAATGAGGCAAACCCACCACAAACAAACCAACCCCAGCCAGTAACTGAGGGGGAGATGGGAGGGGATCAGGGCTTCACTGCCCAGCCTCACCCAGCCGACAGTGGAGCCCAAATGGCCTCAGCCACCCTTCCCCAGGCACCATCATGGGGGCCTCGGGCACTGCAGCCCCCCAGCATCCCTGTCTCAAGCTTCATTTGCTGCGTGCTGCTGAGCTGAGAGATTCTAATCTTTTAATCACGTTATGAGCCGAGGTGGTGCCGGCCACGCACAGGAGGAATGTCTGGAAGCCAGCAGCGCCCGGCGCGGCGGGAGCCCATCCTGTCCCTGGCCACACATCCCCACCGTGTCCTGCTAAGGAGCCCCGTCCTGCCTGGGACCAGGACCAGAACCTGGGGCTGGAGATCGGACAGGATGGGCTGGTTGGGCCATAGGCAGGGAATGTCAGAGCAGGCGCTCAGAGACTTTTCCATGAACCCGACCTGGGATGTGGTTCCCTGATGTACAATAGCAGAGAAGGGGGATCAGGGTGACTTTAGACTGAGTAAAAGGTGGAGGGGGTCCGGGAAGCCCAAAGGACCCAACACAATAACCCCATTTGGAAACAAGAGCCCATTTGTTTTTGCTCACTGCTGGTGCTTTATGGATGGGGAGCCAAAGGTAAGCCCTGTGTCAGGGGCTGCTCCTGCAGTGCCTACACCCCAGCTTTTGCAGCACTGGTTCTGTTACAGCTTGTGCTGCTGAGAACCCCCTGTGAGGCCACGCATTGCAGCTGGCTTGATGCCCTGTATCACCCCACATCATTCTACATCACCCCACATCATCCTACATCACCCCTGCCATCCCCTCCCAGCTGTGGTGGGATGGAGCTGCAGGTCCTGGGGCAAGGCCAGGCAGCCATGGGGGGAGCAGGTATTTCATGAGGAGCCTGTCATGTGGCATAATTAAAGCTCCTCGTTACCGCGGTGTTAGTAGCAGCGAGGGCCATGCTCTCAGAGGGGTGCCTTTGCAAGAGGCCCCACAGCTGCAGGGAGGTGACACGAGGGTTTAATTACTCCCATCCCCGTGTTCTCTTCCCGAGGGGAGCAGAGGGGTGTCCCGCAGCCCAGCCTGGCGCAGTGAGGCAACACAGAGCCACAGCAGCCCCTGCTGAAGAACAACAAAGGCCTGGAATTAGAGATGTGCTGCGAGTTTACTTTACTGCAAAACTATGTCAGAAATCCGTATTGTTTGGACAGGGATTTGCTGGGGATCGCTGGATAAAAGCTTGGCAGGGACCCAGCCTGGGGGGAAAAGTCAGCCAGCTCCTTTCTCCCGGTGAGGACTTGGAGGCAAGTGAGGGATGCACAGCACCGCCGGAGCAGGGGCCTGGACATGGGCAGGGGCAAGGGACGGTCAGTACTATAGTAAGCCAGAGCAGGACCTGGGTGCAGCATGGGGCCAGGGAGGGGGATGCCAGACTGCCCCGTGCCCCAGCCCGGCTTTGGGTCTGTGCAGGAGACACTGCAGTCGTGCCAACATCCTGGGATGCCGGGTTCAGCCGCCTGGTTCAGCTCTGAGGCTGGAGCCCGGCCACAGCGCCACAGGACACCGGTCATGGGGCAGGGCGGCTGCCCTGGCATGTATGGGCAGAGCAGGATGGATCTGGGCCGCGGGGGCTGCTCTCACCGCCCCCCAGCAGCTCCGCACTCACCACACTGTGCAGCAGTCAGGGCAGCTGCTCCCACCGTGCCCACGCTCAGCTGCAATCCTCTCCTCTCCCTTCAGCATCCTCCTTGCAGCAGGGCTCAGTTCCCTGCTGCTGCTCGGAGCTGGAAATCCCAAACCCCCTTTTCCCGCAGGATCCATCAGGGCCTGTTCCCCAGACCTGTGCCAGGGACTTGCCTGCCTCTGAGCTGCCCAGTCCAGGGTTTGTGGGTGCAGCCATGGCACCATGCTGGGTGCTGCTGGGGGAGGTGTGGGGTGCCCTTCCCAGGCTCAGTGTGCAGAGCACTGCACCAACCAGATGCACAATGAACAGCAGCCACATGTGCCAGCAATGCCTGGGCATGCCTGGGCATGGGATGAGGATGGTGAGTGCCAGCTCTGCCTGGCTTGGGGAGAAACGACGGCACACACAGCCTGGTTTCACATCTGTTATGTTTTTAATACTGTTCATGTCTAAAATGACCAAAACCAAGCCAAGCGCTCCTGAGCCCTCACCGTGCCTTAGGCACAGAGCAGCCAAGCATACCTCCTCCCTGCCTGCTGCTGGGTGCAGGCAGGGTGCAAGCAGGGCACCCCGGCACTGCGGGCAGGCTGCTCTGTGCCCACTGCCAGAGAGGGGACTCGGCACAGCTCAGGTGAATGCATTTAAATAATAAGCTAATGAGCAGCAAAAGCAAAGGCATCTTAATCACGTCTCCTAAAATAGCAATTGGCGGCTGCTCCTCCTGCCCTGGCGGCGAGGGGGCCCTGCCTGCCCCATGGCAGCTCAGTGCAGGCCAGGGCACAGTGCCCAGCAGCCCACACTGGGTTAGGTTAACGGCATTCACACCGCTGGCAGCGGGCGGTGAGGGTGAGTGTGCAGCCAACACGGGCTGCAGCAGGCTGGGTGCAGCGCAGGCGGGTGCATGGTGCGGTGGCACGGGGTGGGTGCTGCCGTGTTGCCGCTGGCACAGGCATGGCTGCCTCCCGGTGCTGCGGGGACACAGGGCTGAGCTCCTCTCCTGTGTCCCCGGGAAGGCAACGCTGCCCAAGCTGCCAGCTGTAGGGCAGCCCCGTGGCCCCAGAGGCCACGTTGTCATGGGGGTGTCTGCTGGGGTGCGCAGACCTGCATCTCCTGCCCCGCAATGCAACGGGCACGGTGCAGGTGATGGGCACAGCGGATGGGAGGGGTTTGGGATGGAAGCTGGGCTCTTGCTGCGCTCCTGTGCCCACCCTCTGCATACCCGGCCGGGGTCTCAGACCACGAAGCGGAGCCCGTATGTCATCTGATGGCCGTTGTCCCAGGCGTAAAGCACCTTCTCCTTGGGGTTGTAGTCGACCTGCGTAGTGAAGGCATACTGGTTGAGGAAGGGCAGCCGGAGCTCTGCCTCCGTGTCCGTGTGCGTGTCAAAGGCGTAGGAGATCTGCCCTTCCTTCTGGTTGTAGGTGTCCACAGCATAGAGGATGCCGCAGATGATGAAGCAGTTCCCATAGGCATTGCGCTTCAGCCCTGTCTTCCAGGTGGTTTCCCTGCGCACAGAGAGGTCCCCAGGGTCGAGTCGGCTCAGGACGATCACCTCCTGCTGCGAGTAGTCGTAGTCCATGGAGGGGTAGATGACCCAGAGCCCGCTCTCATCCACAGCGAAGTCAATGTCCGAGTGGCCCCTCCACTTCCAGGGTGTCGTGTCCTCATACACCACATCGTGGAGCTGCGCCCAGCCCGCCACGTACCGCTCCTTCAGGTCATACTTGATGATGTTCTTGGTGAAGGCACGGTTGTAGTAAAAGGCCCCCTGGTACACCACGTGCCCAGTGCCTATCCAGTTGTAGGGCAGCTTGTAGAGATTGCTCCAGCGGCCTGCAAGTGGGCAGGACAAGCACTGAGACCCCTCACAGCACTGGAGTCCCACAGATGATGGCCCAGTTGTGTCCCCCTCACTGCCCCATGGATGCTCCCCAGCGCAGGTCCCCATCAGCTGCCCACCACCCCTGGTGCTACATTGTGCTAGGCACCCCCCAGGAGAAGCTGGGGTTCCTGTGCCCTCTCAGCCACCAGCCCTCACCCTGCTTGAAGCTGTCGAGGCTCCTGAACTCCACCAGGCTGTTGCCGTAGTAGTAGTTGGTGACGTAGATTCGGTCATCCTTGGCCGCTGGGTCCTTCATCCAGGCCCCCTCGTTGCGCCCATAGCTGTGGTGCTCTGTGGGGGGCTCCACCGACTCGATGGTGCCTTCACACTCCACCTCTTTCACTGGGTACCACAGAGGAGGAGGAAGGCTTACCCCATGCCTCCTGCCTGGCCACGGCAGCCAGGACCCCGAGTGGGTTCCCCGTCTCAGTCCCCTGCTCACTCACCTCTGTTTGGTGTTTCAGGGCCCCCACTGCTGTCAGCCCCCTGGCCCAGGGCAGTGGCAGGGGGGCTGCGGGCAGTGGTGCGGGGGGCCAGGGCCGTGCTGGGTGCAGCCGTGGTGCTGGGCATGGTGGTCTCTGCCTGTGCAATGGCTTGGGCTGGGGTCCCCTCAGCTGGTGGGTCCTTCTCTTCCTGATGCTCCACCACAGCCATCCCCCTCGCAGGGCTCTCTATGGGGGACAAGCCAGGAGTCAGTGCATTGTGGGGCAGACTCTGGCCCTCCGCCTCGGTGGGAGGGTCCCCCCAGCCCCCTGCTCCCTGGTGCTCACCTCGGCTGCTGGCCGGCCCCTCCGCTGCTCCTGCCTGCTTGGCCTTGTAGTAAGTGATGCCTCGGACCACGGTTTGCTGGTGTGCTGGTGGCTTGGGCTTGGGTGTAGGTTGTGACCCCCCCCTGGCCTTTGGGGTATCCTTTTTGGGCTTCTCGGGCTTCAGCTGTTTCTCCTTGGGTGCTCGGGGGGGCGCCCTGTCCCCCAGTGCCTTGCGGGTGTTGGGGAACCGTCCTGCCTCCTTCTCTCGTCCTCCTGCTGTGTCCTGGGGGGCACAGCCTGGTTAGACCCCCTCCCTCCCCTTCCCTCCCGCCACCATGAAGGGCAGTGGGCACAGGCACCAGACATGGATACCAGCACCCTGAGGCACTTGCGGGAGCTTCCAGCACCCACTGTAAGCCTGGGGGAGCTCAGATCTGCCCCATGGCACAAGCCCACAGGCACCAGCCATGCCTGTGAGGAGCCAGCTCCTCAGGGTACCTGTGCCTTGCTCTCAGGAATAGCAGCAGCATCCTTCTGCAGCAGCTGGTAGCCCAGGTTGGAGATCTCCTTCTTGATGCTGATCATGATGTCAGAGTAGTTCTCATAGCGCTTCATCTGGTCAGTGAGGTGCAGGACACTCTCCTTCATGAAGTCGTTCTCCCTGCTCAGGTTGGTCTTGATGGTCTGGAGGAGAAGAGAGGCTGGAGCCCCACTTAGGGAGCCAATGGCACTCGCAGATGCTCCTGAGCAGCCACACAGAGCACGCTGCAGGACGGTGCCTGCTGAGCTCACTCACCTCTTCCAGTGTGTTCATCTGAGCCACCACCTTGTTGATGTAGGAGTGCACCTTCATGAGGTCCATGCTGTAGAGCGTTCCCTCCAGCAGGTCCACCATGGACTGCAGCTGCAGAGGGACAATGGGGCATGGGGCATGGGGCAGGGCTGTGGATGCCCACACGTCTCCATCCCTGCTCACAGGAACCACAATGCTCACTGCCCTGTGGGCCTGCTGGGGCAGGGACAGGGGGCATGAGGAGGGTGTCTCCAGCCCACAGCCCCGCTGTGCCTGCAGGTACCTTGAAGAGCTCGGGCGCCTGCTTCTTCAGCTTCTCCATCTTCCACTCGTTCTCGCAGGGGTTGAGGGAGGAGGGGGGGGCGGTGCAGGAGCACTTGCAGTCGGCCCCCGAGCTCACTGTCTCCACCGTGTAGAAGTCCTCCACGCGCATGCTGCCGTTCCGGACGCGGCTGCACGCGTCCTTGCTGAGCGGCCGCAGGATGCACTTGCAGCGGCAGTCGGAGCCCTCCGAGGTCATCCGGACCTGGTCTGCCTCACCCAGCACCTGCAAGGGGGGCACAAGCAGCAGTGGGATGGCTGCTGAGCCTGGGGTTCTGCCCAAGAGCCCTATAGGACCCTGCTGACCCCAGCAAGCCACCACAGCCTCCTCACTGCCCCAGGGCTCTTGGCTGTGCTCAAAGAGCACAGGGCATTGTCTTGCCCAGGGCATCCTGTCCCACCACTCTGCACTTGGGTAACAGTGACGAAACCCAGTCAGAAGCTTGTCCCCGCGGCCACCAGAGTGTTTTGTGCCCACATACACTGGCCCCATGTCTGTAGCTGTTGCCCAGCCTCCAGCAGTACCCAAGTGAGCAGGGACAGTGTCAAGGAGACCCAGAAGCGCCTCTGTTCCCCCACACCCACAGCCCCAAGCCCACACAGGCTCTGTTGTTCATGGTGACATGCAGCCACCTCGGGGTGAGCTCAGCCCCTCCAGACTCTCGCAATGGCCTGAGGCACACACTCAAGGACTCCCTTGTTTCCACACATGGCCCTGACTCACGCTACAGACCCCAGGGTGCTTTTTGGCTCATTTCTGCAGATAAGGAACCATTCTTCCCTCTCCCCCTTGTGCTTGAGAACAAGGCTGTGGCTCAGCCACCCCACTGGGATGGGGAGCGATGTCCCACTCACCCCGTTCCACTGCTGTGCACCTATGGGGCACATCTAGGCTGGCAGGGAGCTGCGCTGCGTGCCCCATGTCTGGAGATGCGCCTGCTCTGAACACCCGGGAAAGTGGGAGAAAGGGGAGAGGCAGCGGGGTGACCCCAGAGGGAGAGGGCTCTGCCCGCAGGGACTCTGCCTCACCCTGGGAAACAGAATGGTGGCAGAGCTGGGAAACGAGCTCAGTCCCATCCTCCCCTGGAGCACAGTGCAGCGTGGGAAAGGGCAGAGGCCCACAGGGCCAATGTCCTGCCTGCAGGCAGCACCCAGGCCATGCAGGCACCGTCCTTCCCACGCCCAACTGGGATGATGCGCTGGTGGCACCCGGCAGCGGCTCTCTCCAGGGACCCCCAGCTCTCCATAGGCTGGGCCAGGGGCTCCCATTCCTAAAAGGGGCAGCAAAACCTCCTGCGTTTTGCATTTCAAAAAAGCCTCTCTCTTTCAAAGGGAAACCAAGGTCCTGCCGGCTGGGAGGAAAACACCAGGCGGCCAAGAGGGCTGTAAATTGAACAGGATCTAATCAAGCTCTCAGCAGGGAGCAGCAGCAGGGAGCGGGACTCTGTCCCCAACACCACCTCTCTAGGCTCTCTTCCCTGGGCCCCCTGACCTCCCCATGGCAATGCTGGTGCTTGTGCAAACAGGCCGGACAATTCACAGCCCGGACATGAGCCGCTGGCCCCTCCGAGCACACCCAGGCAGCTCCCTGGCCCCGGAGCTGGGCTGTTGCCCTTGCCACCAGCTCTGTCCTTCCATGTACATGGCACTATATGATCCACATGGGAGCCCTGCACAAGGTCCTGTTGTGCCCATTGGGACCCCCACTGTTGCCACCAACACCCCAAGCCAGTGAAGCTACCACAGCCCGAAACCCCGGCCACGCTGCGATCCCGCCTGCCATCAGCACCTTCCGCAGGGAAGGGCTGCAGCTGCCTGTGCTGGAAGCTCATTCCCATAGGAGCAGAACGCGTTCCCTCCCACCGCCCTTGGCAGCGCTTGGAGGGAGGCACGGCCGGCGCGGAGGCCCCGCGTGTCCCGCTGAGGTGGGGCATGAGTGGGCTGGAGCCATGCGGAACAAATGCACCCGAGCAGCCCTATCAGCGGCTGTTTGCACTGCACAGGGCATGGGGGGCAGCAAACAGAGGCTCCCCCCGGCACAAAGGGGTAACTCCTTCCCAGGGACTTCCCAGTTCAAGCCATTTCCCTCCCGCGTCCCAGCAATGCGCCTTCCTGCACAAGAGCCGGAGCAGCCTTCACGTGAGGTAGTAACATTAAACCTCGTTCTGCCTTTTAAACAGCTTCCTTAAACAGGAACCGTATGTTCTATTTATGCAGAAAAGCCTATAAACAAGGAAGTCTTCATAAAAAAGGCCCCCACGCAGTCCATTCCATGAGGGTCACCCCACCTCGGTTCATCGGCTGGGGGTCCTTCATCAGTGTGTGCCTGGCTGTGCTGCAACCCTGCAGGGAACAGCCTGCACCCCTGCCACTCATGGGACGGGACAGTGTGTGGGTGGGTCGGGACACGGGGGTGCAGGGCAGCCCCTGCTGAAGGCTCGTTGTGGGAATCTAAGAAACCTCCATGCGGGCTGCATGGTCTCCAGGTGGCTCTCTCCCTGAGTCCCTCTGTTCCCTGCAGACCCCAGCCCAGGGTGCAGGCAGGTGGGCCTGACGCTCCTCTGGAGCTGGATCCCAGCTCCGTGCTGGGGCTGCACACCCATGGCTGGTGTTGGATAGCATCCCAGTGTTTTGCCGAGGGCTTCCTTGCTCCAGTTTTACGAGCTGGGTAATTTTCCCAGCGCTGCCGTTTCTCAGACCTCTTGCAAGAGCATCCGTGTGAGCACTGAGTTTGTGCCATTATTTGGAGAGAGCGGGACCTTTGACAGTGAACCTTGGCCAGCTTTTAAGCTGTCCTTTGCCTGCTGCCAGAGGACTTGTCTCGGAGGAAAACACGCTGTGTTGATAAGCACGCTGCCGCGCTGCGCGCCTCTTGCACAGCTGCTGCGAGGCATGTCCCCGTGACAGGAGGGAAACCATGTCACCCTCCTCTTCTTCCTCCTCCTCCCTGGCTTGGCACAACGCGTTGAACATGCTTTGAGGCAGAGCCGTGGCTGATGGCGGCCAGGCCCTGGGCACTGGCACTGTTTGAGTGTCCTGTGTCAGTCATGGTTACATGACCATACGAATCGCTCATGTGGCACCCGAATGCTCATCGATGGGATCTCATCCCTAATGAAAAAAACTCAAAAAAACCCTTCATGCACAGCAGGCAGCACGTGCACAGGGGGAGGAAAGGATGGAGGAGGTGATAAAGCTGCCCAGGTCCTTAGGCTGTAAACCCCAGCGTCTTTCAGACAGCATCACCCTAAAACCTCTCCGGGAACCCAGCACTGGGCTCCGCCGGGCACCACTCCCAAAACAGCCGCTGCAAACAACAGCTGTGTTCTCATCTTATTCCATTAAATGACTGAGAAAATCTTGGCTTTTGAACGCTTTGGTGATCCCAGCATCAGCGCCTTTCCTCCCTGTGTGCTGCTCCCACCCCTTCGCTCAGCTGGTCCCCATGTCGCGGCTGCTGACCCCGCAGGATTAGCAGCCTTGGGGACTCCTGGATCCAAGAGCCCCGGGCTCCCACCCGCTGCGTGTCCCGCTCCCGCGCTCTTCTAACCTCCACGGGGCAAGTCTCACTGGGGCTGTTCTTCCTGGCACGGAGGCGCTCATTACAGAGCCCATCACTGCAGCGTCGGGGCTTGGGCACCTTCCAACCCACCAAACACGCTCGCAGCCTGAAACTTTCCCCCCGACGAAACCCCCGCAGCGCAGGGAGCGGCCGCACCAGAACCGCACCAGCCTTTCCCGAGGAGTAGCCCGGCTCCGCACCGAGGACGGCACCGCGGGCTCTGCCCGTTCCCCCGGCGCGGCCGCTGCCGATCGAAGCTCGGCGGGTCTGTTCCTGCAGGAACGCACCGGGGAGCTCCGGCCCCGCGACACGGTTCGCGGTCCCCGGTGCAGGTTGCGGTACCGGTGCCAGCATGGGGCCGGGTTCCCTCCGCCCGCCCTGCCCGCGGGGTGCCAGCGTGCGAGGGGAGCCCCGTCCGCTCCGCTTTGGGACCCCCCCGGAGCCCGCCCGGCCCCGGTGCCGATCCGTCGGTGCTTACCGTGGCGGCGCCCCGCGCGGCGGCCAGCGCCGGGAGCAGCAGCGCCGGGAGCAGCAGCACCCGCATGGCGAGAGCGGCACCGAGCGCCCGCTCCGCCCGTCCCGCCCCGCTCCGCCCCGCTTAGTCCCGGCCCGGCGGCGGCACCGGCCCCAGGAGCGGCGCCGCGACGGCGGGGGCGGCGCGGTCCCGCCCGGGCGGAGCTGTCCGGTGCCCGCCCCGGGGCGGTCCGGGCTTTCCCTGTATCGGGGCTGGCTGTTAGCCCAGATGGGGCTGTCCGGTATCCCGGGCTGCCCGCTGCCCACTTCCCGGACGGACAGGTCCCCTCAGCTGTCGGGGCAGGTGCCCGTCCGGCCCGTCCTCGGGGCTGCCCGGTGCCCGTACCGCGCTGGGGCGGGGAGAGAGAGCCCCCTAGCGCCCAGCTGCTCCCCGTGCCCAGGCCCAGGCGAGCCAGAGCGGAGCCGGGGGCGGCCCCGACTCCGGGGTGGGCAGCGGCTCGGAGCCCACCGGGGCGGGGCGGGCGGTGCCGGGCGGTGCCGGCAGGGGGCGGTGCCGGGGGCGGTGCCTTCCCACGGGTACATCCGGGCGGCGCGCTCGGACTACGCTTCCCGTCGTGCCCCGCGGCAGGGCGGGGCGGCCCCGGCCCGGCTCGGCCCGAGCGCGGCGTCCGCAGCGGCGGCTCTGGCTGTCAGCAGCGCTCGGAGCGGCCATGGGGCAGCGCGGCCGCCGGGGCCCCTGAGACCCGCCTCGCCGCGGCCCCGGCGCCGCCATGGAGCTGGAGCCGCCCGCAGAGCTCCCGGAGCCCCGCTCCGCTGCTAAGGGACCGCCGCGCAACGGTGAGTGGAGCGCGAGGTCCGGCTCGGCCCGGCCGCCCCTCAGGGTTGGGGATATAGAGGGGGTATCCGTGTGGCGCGGGTGACGCGCCGGGGCTCACAGCCGGCGGTACTGGGGCTTCGCTTGCCGCGTCTCGGCCACCCCACCGAGTGCGGCGGGGCTCGGGGGCTCCCGGCGGCCGCGGCTTTCCGCGGTCGTGGGGCACAACAAAGGGTTGCGGCCGGCGCGCTGCCCGCCCTGCCCACCGCCTGTCCCCGCTGTCAGGGCTGCCGCCGTCCCGCTTGGAGAGCGCCGGGGCTCTGCGGGGCGGGCGTGGACACGCGGGGTTGTCCCCGGTTTGCGGCGGGTCCCATCCCCAGATAGAGCTGTTTCCCGCTGGCTCGCCTTGTGAGTGTGGGGTTTTCCACCTAAATGTTCCGTGTGGCGGCTCCCGGTGGTCACCGCACCGGTGCTGCCCCGGTTCGCTGCGCCCGAGCTGCCGGCTCCGTTTAACCGGCGCGGGTGCCTCTGCCCGGGCCGCTTTGGGACACTTAACACTCCCAGCGTGCGGATACCGCATCTGCACTTGAATGTCCCTGCCAGCCTTTGTGGTTTGTAATTGCATTTTACCATCTCAAGGTACCCTTTTCTACAAAGGATTTGCTCAGACAAAAGAAGCTTCTTATCAGGCAGCACCGCTGGCATTTGCTGGGTGCCGGCATTCCCAAAACGTACCCTTTTCTGTAATCACCAGCGCTGCCTATCTCTGTAATTACCCTAAAATGTAGCTTTAAGTTGTGAGGCTGCTAGAAACGCTTTAATCCTTTTTTAACCAGATGTCCAATTGGATGAAAGATACGTTTAATCCTTAATACTTTTTGAACTTTCTGATTTAATTTGGGAAGTGTCTGTTGCTTTGGTGTCCTTAATAATGCAACCAAATTCATCCTTTGTCAGCACATACTGTTCTCCCCCACAGAAATATAGGGGTTTGTGGGAATATCTTTCAATTCATCAGATTCGTTGTAAGAGTTACTTTCATGTCTTGTATGGCTATCTCAAGTGATAGATGTTGTACCTGTGGCTTCGGCTAGCCTCCTGAATGGATGATGTAACAACCTTTTACTATTTTGCCTTCAAAAACGTGAAATACTGGCACGGTGTTGAGACACTGTGTGACCTTCAGTCCTTCTAAAGCCTCCAGCAGCCGGGGGAGGAGCTGAAAAGATTGGCTTCTTACTTTGCTGGCTTATAAAATATCTGCAAATGGGAATGGTAAATGAAGACTTGTAATGTTCCCTCTTTTTAGGGAGGATTCATAGCACTTCTGATACCTTGAGGTGCGACATCTTCACTCATTACAAAATCAGCTAAAACTGTATGACATACATGTTGCTGTGGAGGAGATCATAATCCTACTTTTAGATATATAAATATTCTTGGTGGCTGCGTTAAAATCATTAATGAACTTAAGCTCTGCACATGGCTTCTGTGTTAACCCAGAATAAACTGCTGCAAGTTTATTGGCGTCTTCAGTGAAAGAGCCTCAGGATCACTTTGAAAGGCAGTTACAGATTTCATTTCGGCAGTTACAGGCAATTGCAACCTCATTATTTAAGGGGGCATTTGACGTTCTTAGCATATAAGATGATGGTTTTCCCTTACAAATTTCAGTACATCCCCTTTCATGTAGAAAATGTTGCCGTTGAGCAAATCAGTTGCAGTGAGTAAAATGAATTCTATTAATCACTTCATTAAGGCATTAATTTTTCCTGCACTCTTAGCAATTATTTCTCAATAGGGTTGTATTTCAGATGAGTTTCCCCGTAGCTTCAGTTGGTGTCTGTTTCCTCTGAGTAGAACAGGGTGGCTTTTACACAGTTTTAATGATTTTATGTTTTAACTAAGATAGCGACAAAAAAGGTTATCTAGAATTAAGGTAACTTCAGATACTTTGTGTAGTGTGGTCTTGGAAGACTGATTTAAGTGTCAGGAAACTACCTGAATTTTGTGTTCCCTTAAAATGAGCAGTTTCAGATAGGCAGATTACTGATCTGGATGAACTTCATACCAGAGAGAAGAGGAAAGTTGCGAGAGCACAAAGAATGCAAGGTTTTCAAAGAAAAATCCCATTGCTTGCATCCCTTCCCTTTTCCACAGCACTCTCAAACTTTACTGGCACACACTGACATTTTTAGTGGTTCTTTATGCTTGATTGCTTTGCATCTGATGAGATAAGCCGTTGCTTAACAAAGACTATTTCATTGATATAGTTAGGTCTTAGTTTACTTGCTATAAACATTTCTTTGAAGGTTTAGGAAGAAAAACAAATTGAGTTGTTGAATGGCAATGCTGCTAAAGTCAAATGTCTCTGAACAAACAAGAAGCTAGTGTTATTTTGATTCACTGTTGGCTTGTTGAATGTGGAATGCTCTTGCTTTTGCAAATAGTTATAGAGAATAATAGATAATAGAATTTTAAGCTATGATGGGAAATAAGACTTGTAACTGAAGAAAAACTTTATTCCTTTGTTTGATTTGATGGTAAGAGGGGAAAAATACCTCTCTGTAAAGTTGGAATTTGGTATTGATGGCTTCTGTAGATCATTAATGAGGAAAATGGGTTTATGCATGCCTTTTTGTACTAAAACCAGGACTAGCAGTGCATGTTCAGCAGATGCAGAGAGTGATGCGACACTGCAGCAGGATTTTTCCCCCACTTTGCTATGAAACAGTATAAGGATATTGTATCATAGGAAATGGGAAAAATTTTCCATTTAGGAGATCTGTTTCTTGACTGTTGGGAAGCAATAGTCATCCTTGTGTCCTGTCTCTGGAAAGTTATTCGTGGTATCTCTTTTTCTTGGTGGGGAGAATGTGCAAGCAGTTTACTGAATTGCTGTTTGACTCTTCCATGGTGGTAGCTTTGAACAGATGCATTTACACTAGCATTCTCTGGGAATGAGAGCACAGTTTATCCTGTTGATAAACTGCCTATTTAAATAAAGCCTTCAGCAGTGTAATCTGGTAATTCTAATTAAGTAATTTACATAAAGAATTGGCCCAGGGTTTCATTAGATGGTTGCTGGTGAGTTGAAATGCATTCTTTCCCTCCAGCTGTATTAAACTGGCCTTTTGATCCTTTCCTCTTTTTTTTTTTCCAGCCTCTAAGCCAGGGTGGTTATCACTTTGCAGAGTTAATTGAGAAAGGGAAGTTGGGGGACAAGAGGACCCTTCAAGGTTTAGCTTTAGTCTTAATTATTACAGTTCTAATTACCTAATTAGAAGACTTTCAGATTTTATATGTTGATAAAAATGATTCTGTACAGGTTTTGTTACAAAGAGGAAATACACCACTGATAGGCTAGCTTCAGTGAAGTTCTTTATTGGTAAATGATTGCCAATAACTTATCTTGAAAGCAGTATATGTCTGGAGTATGTGAATTCTACTCCAGCTCCTCGATAAGGAGGTTTCATTTACAAAGGGTGGACCCCGTGTCCTTCAGGGAGCATGAGTTACATGTCTACCTTCCGTTGCCTAATCATCCCTGTTACAGGCTTGTATAGGTGGTGAAATTTAAACTTGGAGAAATGTCTGGTCAGTGTGTGGAGGATTACTTCTTTTAAGCCCTTTTTGCCTTTGTGGATGCATCAGGAAAAAATGGATCAAAATTTGCCAGGGCAATAATGCCAGGCTGACTGCAAACTGGTGCCATGTCCTTGCCTTGAAGTATCTCTCAGCTGAAACTGTATGTATTTCATGGAAATTTAAACTGGAATTTCAAGTGCCTGGGACTAAATCTCGAAATTCTCTTGTTGTATAAAGCCCCATCAGTTATTCCAGCAGGAAATGGGAATTGCAGTGGTGTCACGTATTTCCGAAGGTCTGTGTTGTGCTCAAGTCAGTGCAGTGGATTCTCTGCACTGTTAACTTTATGAAACTGTAAATGAGCACAGTGCTCCTATAAACATTAGGGTTTATCCTGCTTAGTGGCTGCTGACTCTGGCACTACTGAGAAGCACAGGGTTTATCTGTGGGAATTGTTCTGGAGCCCTCAGATCCTGAAGCCAAGCGATTAAATGATCCCTGTCGTGGTTGTAGTAAAGCCCGGAAAAGAACCGCTGGTCTCTGAAGGTTGTGCCAAACACCATCTCGTCCTCCAAGAATCCCTTCGTTCAGTCTCACAGCTGTAACTCGACTGGTTTATGTTGTTTGGCAATACAAAGTCTTATTCCTAAGTATATTGTTCCTTCAGCCGTTTTGTGTGTGCTTTTGCCAGGAGACTCCATCTCCTGTGTGCATGTTC